TATGAGGCAGAGAGGGGTATGAGGTATGCAGGGGTATGAGGCAGGGATAATTATTTGGCAGGGAGCGGTATGATACAGTGAGGCGCAAGAGGCTGGCAGTGGTATATGGCAGTGAGCGGTCTGATGCTTGCAGGAAGCGGTATGAGGCCGGATGCAGTTTTTGGCAAGAGTGGTATGAGGCAGAGTGCACTAGTTGGCAGTGCGCGGTATCAGGCTGGCAGGGAGCAGTATGAGGCAAGCAGTAGATGTCAGGGAGTGGTAGGTGGCAGGACTGGTATGAAGCAGGCAGAGAGAAGTATGCGGCAGGGAGCAGTGTGAGAAAGGGATAAGTATGAGGCAGGGAGCTGTATGTGGCAGGCAGGGAGCTGTATGAGGCAACAGGTAACGGAATGAGGCTGAACGGCCTATGAGACAGGGTGCAGTGTTTGGCAGTGATCTGTATGAGGCAGGCAGGGAGCTGTATGAGGCCGAGAAGCCTATGAGGCTGCTACCAGTACAAGGCAGGGAATGGTAGGACGCTGGCAGGGACTGGTATGAGGCAGGGTGCTGTATTTGGCGGGTTGCAGTATGAGGCAGGCAGAAGTATTTGGCAGGGAGTGGTATGAGGAAGGCAGAGAACTGAATGAGGTAAAAAGGGGTATGAGACAGGAAGCTGTGTTTGGCAGGAAGCGTTATGAGGCAAGCAGTTTGAGGTAGGGAGCTATATGAGTCAGGCAGAGAGCTGTATGAGGCAGAGAGGCTGGTAACAGTATATGGCAGGGAGCGGTATGATGCTGGCAGGGATCTGTATGAGGCAGAGAGGTCTATGAGGCGGGTAGCAGAATATGGAAGTGACCAGTATGAGGCAGGCAGGGAATGGAATGAGGCAGAAGGGGTATGAGACAGGGAGCAGAATCTGTCAGGGAGACATTTGAGTCAGGCACGGTGCGGTATGAGGCAGAAAGTGGTATGAGGCAAGGATCGGTATGAGGCTGGCGGGGGAGGTGTGAGGCAGGGAGCAATATTTGGCAGGGAGCGGTATGAGGAAGGCAGAGTGCTGTATGCGGCATGGGACAGTGTGAGGCAGGCAGGAAGACCTATGAGGCAGGTAGCAGAATGAAGCAAAGAGGCGTAAGAGGCAGGGAGGAGCATTTGGCAGGGAGCAGAATGAGGCAGGCAGGCGCAGAATTTGGTAGGGAGCAGTATGAGGCAGGCAGGGAGCGGTATGAGGCACAAAGGCCTATGGGGCAGGAAGCATTATTTGGCAGCAAGCTGTGTGAGCCAGGCAGGGAGCTGTATGAGGTAGGGAGGCCTATGAGGATGGTAGCAGTATTTGGCAGGGACCGGTTAGAGGCGGGCAGGGAACGGGATGAGGTAGAAAGGCCTTTGAGGCTGGTAGCAGAACATGGCAGGGAACACTATGACGCTGGCAAGGAGGGGTACGTGGTAGGGAGCAGTATTTGGCAGGCTGTGTTATGAGGCAGGCAGCAGCATGTAAGGCAAGCAAGGGTCTGAGGTCAAAATCTAACATTCACCAAATGACTCCAAATGTGATGCTAGTTGTTCTGAAATGTTTATTTCAGTAAGATTAGCACATTTGTAGATCAAAATCTCTTTTTGACCAAGTGTCTCAATTTTACATCTTGGTTACACTAAAACACTTATGTCAGAGAGATAAGCACATTGGAACATGAAAATGTTACATTCACTAAATTTCTGAAAAGATGATGCTGGTTGTGTTAAAATGCTTATTTCAGTAAGATAAGCGCATTTGAACATCAATATCTGACATTCACCTAATCACTGAATTTTACATGCTCGTTGTTCTAAAACATTTATTTCAGTGAGATAAGC